TAACCCTTCAGCCCTTTTAGTGTTTTACTTTACATTTTCAGACCCTATCATGTTTTTATATAGGAAGGCATTGGATTGAGAGCCTCCTACCTATGCCTCCTGTATAATTAGGACCACAGGGGCTAAAATATAACCCTTCCTGATTCTGCCCCCTAAGTAGGTAGATAAAGGACACAATCAATCTCACTAAGCTCCAGAAAGCAGTTTTAATGTCAAAGTGAATTCTTATTCATTGATTTTCATGGTTGTGTTTTCATATACATATATCTTTCTCCATTGCATGCCCTGGAGTATTATAGCTTAATAACTCTTCCAACAAAACCTTAATAAAGATTATAAATGGGGTCTTTTATTGTTCCATATGAATTTTTGGATTGCTTCTTCTATTTCACTGAAGAATGAGGTTGAGATATTGATGCGTAGCCTTTGGCAGTTTTGCCATTTTCATGATGTTAATCCTTCCAATTCAGGAGCATGGAGGTTTTTCTACTTGCTTAGTTCTGATTTAATTTCCTTTTTCAGGTTTTTAAAGTTTTCATCATAGAGATTCTTCCCTTCTTAACTTAATTTCTAGACATTTTATTTTTTGTGGGGCTACTACAAAAGGAGTTGCTTTCTTGATTTCAACTGCGCTCTTCTTGTTATTGGCATACTTAAAAGCCATTGCTTTTTGAGGGTTAATTTTATGCTCTGCTACTTTGCCAAAGTTTGGGATCAGCTCAAGTAACTTGGGAGTGGAGTCCATGGGGTTCTTTAAATACAAGATCATGTCATCTGCAAAGAGGGAGAGTTTTACTTCATCTTTCTCTATTTGGATCCCTTTTATATTTGCATCTTGGAAAAATCATATTAAGTGAAGTAAGCCAGATGCAAAGAAATATAGGTCCCATAGTTTCCCTTATTTGTAATAATTAGTATATGTCTCGGATAATTTTGTCAGATGAGAAGAAAAGCTCAAAAGCTGTGTACATATGAGATAATGCTAAGCAAAATGAACCCCAAGATATGGACACAAGAGGTTTTTCTTTGTTGTTATTTTTAATGTACCATGTGATTGTTTTTGTTTCTTTTGTATGGTCTTCCCCCTATGGTATATACCTCTTGTCAATGTATTTGACTTTAGTACCTTGCATCTTGTATGTACATTTATCTAATTTGGTGAGGGGAAGGGGGAATAACAAAATGCTGAAACAAGGACACGGGATGACCCATTGCAACAATGATACTCACAAGACACTATGCTGGAAAGGAATTTTACAACTTCCCAGGGGGCGGGGAGGGAGTGAGGGTGGTGGGGAATGGAAGGGATAGTAGGAGAAAAACAAAGGAAGAGGTAACAATGCTTGACAAGAAATGTACTCATTACTTTACTCATGTAACGGCAACTCCTCTGTACAGTATCTTTACAATAAAATTAAATTTAAAAAAAGATTATATTAAGTGAAGTAAGCCAGGCCCAAAGAAACATAGGTCCCATGGTTTCTCTTATTTGCAATAACTAGTATATGTCTGAGTCAAGCAGAAAAGGTCAGATAAGTTGATGTTAGGGAAATGAACCCTAAGATATGCATTCAAATATTTTTTTTCTTTCATGCGATTGTTTCTAACATATTTATAAGATGTCCCTCCCCCACAGTATAACCCCTGCTTTCACTGTATTTGATGTTGGTATAATTTGTGGAGGCGAAGGGAAAAAAGAAATCGTTTAAATAGGGATACAGGTGGACCCAGTGCAACAAGGAGATATACAAGTCACTATGTCGAAAAACAAACTTTACAACTTTGGTGGGGGGGGAGGGATGGAGGAGGATTTGGTGGGGGGGAGCTTGGGGAGGATGGGAAGGGGAAACAAAGGAGGAGGCTACAATGCTTGATATGAAATGTACTCATTATCTTGCCCATGTAATTGTAACCCCTCTGTACAGTATTTCCACAATAAAAAATTTATATAAAAAAGATTATAACTGGGAAACACTCCTTTAGTTAATGGAGTGTTAGAATGATTGTCAGAATGTATTTATAAGCAGAATTATTGCTGTTGACAAAAAGTATCAACGACATTGATTAGTTAATGGCATCATTCATTTCCAAAAATCAATCTAAAGGCAAATGCTACATGTGAAATGTAAGTATTTTAAAGTGGGAATGCAGAGTAAAATGGCTCTTAGTTTTGGAACACTGGGTCCTTAAATTGTTGCCAGCTATTTGCCCTAGAATTTTATAGAAGCTCATCATTTTTAGTATGTATTGCTTACCTAGGATACAGTTGAGAGAGACAGCACTTACCGTGGACTTGAAGGTTGTAAAACAGTTCTGTAGCTCCAGCAGAGTTAATGGCCACACATTTATAAATGCCAGCATCTGAGATCTGGGCTTTTTCGATGTCAAGGACCTGCCCTCTGTTCAGGAATGCTACACTGGTGGAACCGGAGAGTGGACGGCTATCTTTGTACCATGTAATAACTGAGAGAATGAGACAAGATCAATATAAGTTGTGTTCTTTTTAAAATCCAACACACTAAGTTGGATCTTAATTAAGCCATAATTGCTTTGTTTTTGTTCATATTGGTTGGGTTACATGGTTTAAATAAATATATCTTCCAAATTAATCTTTAAGACAAGGTGATCTGAAGAAAACACCAAGAATCATATAAATCCTGAAAAATGAATACACAGAAACAATTCTTTATGCTGTATCTAAATATCAATATTGTTCATAAACTTTCAACCTCTTCTATTACTTTCTATTGTGTATTTCCTAGAAATTTTTTCCACTAATGAGAACCTTATATATACTATTGGCTTCAGGATCATTATGTTATTATTGATTCATATGAATATGCAACTAGTGATAGGTATGTATAAATGACAACTGCTTTAGAATGGTTGTGATTTACAGTCAATTTCTTGAGCAGTATTAGGAATCAAATTCAGGGCCTCATACTTGCCAGGCTGGTGTTCTACCACTTTAGCTATTCCTCTAGGCTCTTTCTGTGCTGGGCATTTTTGAGAACAAAGACTTGCTTTATGCTCTGTTCTGTCTGCGCTGAAATCCTCTTTCTGCTTCCCTGTGTCTCTGGGGACATAGAGCCATTATACTTTTCACCATGCCCACTCATTGGTTGATATGGAGTCTCAAGAACTTGTGTGTCCATTTGGATGGAGATCGAGAGATCTCCCAAATAGCTAGGATTATAAGCTTGAGTACCCCTCCCGGTTTCATTAATATACTTTTAAAAATTAAAAACAAATTCACCATAGATGAAGGTAAGAATTGTGAGAATTTTAGCCACAATATGAACAAGATAGCTAAGGTATTCATCCATTTCTACATAAAGTGGACACATTATTTCATATAGCTAAATACAGTGAAAATTCAAAAGAATGATTTATATAAAGATATTCTTATTTCATTAATAGAAATCTTTTATTATTATTATTATCTTTAAGTAGTTGAACAAAGGAGTTGCCATTTAACAAAGTAGTGCATGGATATGCATGTTGATCAATGTCACCCCCTCCTCCTCTCACTCTTCATTCTGTAGTAGATACATTCAACTCTTGTCAGCACTTCCCCTCTCTTCTCTTCTTTATATATTGAAATATATACTATATAATGTTTCCTTTATCAGAAATTGGTATATTATATCCATAAACAATTTCATTTATTCCCAGAAATCTTAACTATCTTTAAATTACAGGATGAGAAAATATACCTACCAGGCAAAGGATTTCCTGCTGCCTTACACTCCAGCTGGATGGGACTGTTCACCACCACTGTCTCATTCAGCATCCTTCCAGCTTCTTCCAGCCTTGGGGGCTCTGCAAGAGGCCATACAGGATACTTAGATACTGAGATATTTGCAGGATACTTAGATACTTGCAGGATACTTAGATTGCTTGCTCACTGGAAATTATAGTCATCCTTCCTTTGTTTATTTCTCATATATGCATTGATTTATTTAATATGCATCCAGATTCATATATCTACCTTTTCTTTTCTTTATGGTACTGGGGTTTGAACTCAGGGCCTTGTGCTTGCTAGGCAGGATCTACCACCTGAGCCATGCGCTAAGCCGTATACGATACATTTGAAGTATAAAATTGAGCAGTATTGAAAAAAATATTGGCACCTATTTTTTTGTGCTCAGATAGAAAATTCCTTAAGATTTTAGATCAGTAGTATAAGGGGAAAAAGTTAAAAGGTCAGCCCACACAAAAAAGTTTGTGAGACCCCCCCCCCACTAACACACACATCAACTAATAGCTGTGTATAGTGGCACATGCCTGTCATCTCAAGCTATGTAGTAGGCTGAGATCTGGAGGATCTCTGTTTGAAGACAGCTGAGGTAGAGTATACTTCAAGATATCCGAAAAACTTAGGGCTGGAGGCATGGTGCAAATGAGAATGCTAGCTGAGCAAGCATGCTGAGTAACCCACAAGACTCTTAATTCAAACCCCAGTACTTCCAAAAAAAAAGAGGCCACTACAAAAATGGACTATAAGCAGCATGGCTCAGTGGTGGAAGCAAAGTTTAGCAAGCTGAAACACCTGATTCAAACCCCAGTTCTGAAAAAACAATATCCACAAAATCACCTCTCCCCTAAATGACCATTGACACAGGAGTGGATAAAGTATGGAGTATACACAATGCATTATCATTCTATCATTTTAAAAAAGCATGAAAACCTGTTATTTGTGACAATGAAGATGATCCATGTGAGTTAAATTATGTAAATTGAAGTAAGACAGGCACAGGGAGAAAGTATTACATGATCTCACTCACATATGGTATCTAACAAGTTGTTCTCAGAGAAATTAAGAGTATAATAAAGTTACACAAGTGGCTAGCATTTAAAACATATGCTCTGGAAATGTCAAGTGTAAGTATCTGATAACTAAAAGAGGAAGACAGAAGGCCAAAGTCCTCTGTCCAGGCATGTGGTTCGGTATAGTCACGAGTACAAGGGACTGAGAAGAAACAAGTGGAGAGCAGGTCTTTGTTAAATAGCTCACTTAATAATCCCTTCATTCTTTAGATTATTTGCCAAAGAAATCACAGTCCTGTCTGCAGAAGCCTGGGGATAGTTCATTGTCTCACGGGCCAGACAGAAAGAGAGTTCCAATATCTCCCCATGCAACAAATATAAAATTAGATCTCTTGGTCTGGTTTTGAGAAAAAAAATGTGGATACAATGTAAATGACACCAGAACACTGTTCTATATCAACCCCCAATCAGGTAAGTATCTCATGTCAATACAGATTGTATTCTCCAGGCAGAAGAGCTGATTCTTTTCAACTTGCTCTTTGTCTCTTTTCTTCCTCTTCCAAAAGTTGCCCAAAACACAGTACTTTCTTCTTGCCACATTGTGCACTAGATGTTTTTGATTCCTTTAAGCATTCAACATAAATTGATTCTTTCAAATTCTACTTAAGTATGAATGAATGCATACCTGGTCAAAAAGTGACTTTGTCCATGAAATGATGAAATAGTGAGAAGAAATTTATTGAGCCCCCAGATACAGTAGAGTCCTGAAGTGAACTTACCAAAAAAGAAGAAAAATAAAAATAAAAGAGCCCCTACAACATTCCTAGTTCTTCTCTGAGGCACAAGTGAGCCATTAAACAAAATACAGAACTGATAGAGAAACCTTTTTTCTGAGTGGATGTTAGCAGATGTTAACCAAGCAACTACTTTTAAAATATAAAATAAAAACAAGGGGTTCTCCACTAATAATTTTATGCATCAACCAGTACAGCCCTAAGAGAACTCTTAGCCAAAATTAAAGGCAGCAGGACTTCAGATATTATTTAAAATAGGGTAGCAGGAAGGGCCAGAAGGCAAACACATGTTTTGCCAAAAGTCATCATGCTACCATTTGCAGATGCTGCCTGGAAGCCAGGCACCAGGCAAACATTTTCACATGTCCTCTGTCACTTTAGCCTCACAAAGCTCCGTGAAGATGAGAGGCTATTATTGTCTTCCCACCTTACAAAGATGATTTATATGCTTTTAGAAAGTGAACTTCTAAGCTCCATTGCCCCGCCAACTTTAATTAACAATATAGGACCAAAATTAAAGCCCATCCTAACAATTCTACTACTTTTGGATTCTTTACCTTGGTTGATTTTTAAAAAAGAAGATGATTATGTGCAGATGAAGCGAATAGTTGAGCTATTAGACCCAAATAATCATTTGTTTATGGAAACATCTGTTTCACTTGGCAAATATTTGAGATTTAGTTATAATTTCATAGTTGGTTCTAGAGAATAAAAACTTCCAGGATTATTAAAGTTTTGATGATCAAAACATAAAATAAAATAAAAGACCACCTACTGAGGACTCCTGAAATTTATAAGAGAATTTCTCCCTGGAAAGCCCTACGAAAACATTCCTGCTCTTATAGTCATAACTTGGTCTAATCTAGAAGACTATGCGCCCTTACTTCAGCTGTTGGAAACGTTTTTTTCCTTTATTTTTTTTCCTTTGCTGGAGAAGAGTAGCAGTATCTAAAAATTTTTTCAAAAGAGGAAAATATGAATCAATAGGAATGCTGAGTGTTCTACAATTGAACATTTTGAATGTCAATCGTTATGTTATTTACTGATTATTTTTACCAATCAATTAAGTTGGAGATGAAAATGAATCTTGAATTCAAAAGCAATTAGAGTTAAGAAAATTAATAACTGAACTAACATAATGATGATTTTTTTCCCTATAGATTTGCCCTATATATAGCCCTCGTTTGGATAGAATACTCAGGAAGCATTCAGAAAGTACAGGACAAGCTAAGGGACAGCACTGTCTGCCTGTCCCTAACCTTTCAAAGGGAGCTAATGCCAAAATGACTCCATTCAGATAAAATTCTTTTTGTTAATTACTCAATGAATGAATATAGGCCCTCATAAAGAATACAGTTTATGTGTGCAAACATACTTAAGAAAAGTGCTTGTTCCTCTATTGTTCTTCACATTGTAACTTCTACTTCTGACTTCTAAGATTGATTGTCCCTTTTATGAGGCTTAATTATTATCTCAAGTCATCATAGGAATGCAGTTCCAATATTTTCAAGCTTTGCAATGCATGCTGTCTTTAAGCTACTGTCTTTCCACACTCTTTCTACAGATTTCTTTTGGCATCCCATTAACTTATCCTTGTAACCTCCTATCCCTTTTTGAAGCTTTTCATTAAGTAATTTCCTAGACTCTTTTGACATCTCTGATTATTTCTGAAATTTAGAAAAAAATGCAACAGTAATATTCACAAGAGAGTATGCTGGAAATAATCTGTACATCTTGGGGGGACACGGGGGAGGGAAAGTAGGAAAAAATGAGGGAAGACAAGTTTGACAAGAAATTTACTTATTGCTTTAATTATGTAACTGTAATTCCTCTGTACATTACCTGTACAAAAGAAAAGAAGAAGAAAAAGACTAATTCCAGTTCAGAGCCCTTTCCTTTCCTATGCGACACTGCCATCTGAGTTCCAAGATGAGGTAAAGTTTTCCCTTGAGAGCTCAGTCACATAACTGCCCACAGCATGGTCCTAACAGTACAAGTTCACTTCACCAGTTTTCTCCTTTCAGTGAGATGAACAGTTATACAGACCAATCAGGATTGCACTAGACAAAATATTTTAAGGCATTACTGTATCTTATCTCTATTCCACACTTGCATCAATAAGATTGTTCTCTATTTTCCTTCTGAGACGGCATTTTTTAGTAAAGTTTTCATAACTAACTTTCTGCTACTTTTCCTTTTTATAGGAACCCAGGTTTTTTTTCTCACCTTCTTCCCTTTTCTGTGACGAGTTTCCATGTAGATGTATACCCTAACTCCTTTTTCCTGACAAGTGATAATTGTGTTACCATTTTCTACCACTGTGGATTTTTAGATTATTTACTTGTGCTTTTCCTCTATGCTTCTGTTATTTTGCTTATTTGAAAGAACACTAAATTGCTTTTGGTCTTTCTGGTTTTTAGTCATTCTTAACTTCACTGGCAAATCTGTAGATCAGTCTTCAATATCTGACCTCCTATTTCTCCATGTACGGGTGCACAGCCACCTGAATCAAGAAATCTAAGACTGGGCTCAGGAGACTGCTTTCTTCATATGCAACGAGATCAAAGGAGCCTGGGGGGGGTGAATTTTGGGAGGAGAGAAAGCCCACCCCTGGAATGTTCTTGGTGCAATTGAAGATTTGCATAGATGTTGGTGACAGCTGTCCAAGAGCACTAGGAATATGAAGGTTTAAGTGACAATTTAAGGGACAGTGGTGTCAGCCTGTCAGGTAATGCCAAAGTGCTTCCATTCAAATATTGGTCTGCAATTCAATGCTCAGTGAAAGAATAAAGACACTCCTAAAGATTATGGTGTATGTGTGTGAACATATAGAAGTGTTCATAGCTAGGACTCTGGAGAAAGAGTAATTGATTTATTGACAATATTAAGGAAACGGATTATGTAAAAATTCTAACTGGTTAATTAAAATGAAAACAAAGATGCGAATCAGCAGAGTAGAAAATCTGAATCTCTGACTGAAATCTTCCATTCCCCTTCTACTTTCTCATTTCTCAGCAGTTTTAACTAACATAGATAAACGAATGGCAAGAGGAATAAAAATGAACAAGCAATGGCATGAATTAGAGGAAATGAATAGTGCACACACAAAGAGTTTGGCTATCTCTCTGCAAATATCCTGAGTGAATCAGGAAATCCAAGCCTCCAATTTCTGACATTTTGGCAAGTCTCTGAAGATCTAAAGCCTTATATTCAAGGTCATGTCATCTTTCAAGTTTACTGTGAAGCTATTATTGATGATGTGTTCCATGGCCACCCACACTTCTCATTAAAACACCTCGGAGAATACTAAGCAAAAGCCAGCTCCAGCTTCCCAAAGAACCTCACAGAAACAGGCAGGGAAATTATATACAAAACTCAGGTAGTACCCTTAAGTTTGTGCCTTTCTCAACAGAATGGTCTGTACAAAACAATCAGTTAAAGTAATATAGACAATCTAAAACACAGAACATTCTATTGGACTGCTTGAAAACTGAAGAGTTTCATAGGTTAATGTATTACAAGGGAATTAGAATTACAGTTAACTAACATTTCACATAGAACTAAGTTAATTACTTTTCAATAACATAAGTCAGTCAAAATGAGCCCAATCATAAAAAAGTACCATAAAGTATTCTTTTGTTCTGATATGGAAATTACATTACCATGCACATGCAGTTGAGTGTGCTGTTGGATTTCTCCAGCAGCGTTGGTAGCCACACATGTGTATCTGCCAGCATCTTCCAACAAAGTTTTGGCAATTTGTAGAACTCGACCAGAAGACTGTATCTAATTGGGAGCAGAAAGCATGGCAGTATTTGGTACTTTGTACTTGAACTTGAAACATTTGCCCAGATTAAAATAAAAAATCATCTAAGTTTGTAATATCTAATTATATTTTCCTGCCAATAGCTTAATTATCTCCTGACAGATTAGGGCCAGATCACTTCATTATGCATAAGAAAACAGGCTAGTTTGCTTGAAAGCTTATTCTTATTCATTGGAAAACACAAACTAAAATAACCCAAGGCCAGTCTGCTGGTATAGTCATAAAACTCTTCTGAATAAAAGACTTTTCGCACTGAACGATGAAGTCTGTGATGAAATTTTAAGCTATTTGAAAAAAATGGCCACATTTTATATAACACTTCATAAATAGTTTTAAAGCAACAATCCTTTTTGATTAAATTGTCATGGGAGCCCAAAAAATAAAAATTATAAAATATGAAAAAGAGGAGTGCAGATACATTTTTTTCTGATTGTTTTTCCTTATTTTTCTCTTTAAACTCCTTGTAACTGATCATTCCCATTCTGGTAGACCAGAAGTTCCTCTTTGGAAGGAATTCTTCTGAAAACACCAGTATCTTCCAATCCCATAATCCATTGTCCTACATAGTCGCACAAACCATTCTCCATCATCTGAAGCACTGACATCACTGATGACCTAAATCTTTGAAGACAGCACTTCTTTGACTTTTTAAAAACATTACTCTATAGATTATTCTTCCTCTTTCTTTTCAGCTGGATATTGAACCGGCTGACAGTTTTCTTCCAAATCCTCAGTATTGGTAAAACAAAACAAAACAAAACTGCAGACTTTTAGCCTTGATTTATCTCCTGAAATCTGGAGCTGTAGTTCAGACTACCTGTTAGATAGGTTAGTATATAAAATTTAACCTTTCCAGAATTAAATGAATAAATTACTCCATTGTTTCTCTGAAATCTAATTTCATTGCGTTTTCCAGTGGCACCCACTATTTTTCCAGCCTTCTGGGTTTTGGAGCCCACTTCAATGTCTATTAATTATACCACAGCATGTTTTCAAGAGCCCCTGTTTTCCATTTCCACGGTCACTGTGGATTATAATGGCTTCTTCACTAATGTTCCAGTGCCTCCAACCTCCCCAATTGTTCATCTATTTTGTATATACTGCCAGAATAATTTCTTTAAAATGGAAATTTGATCATTTAAGTAGTCCCCCTTTCAAACTTCATGCATGGCTCCCCACCTTGCCCAGAATGAAATCTGAACCCAGAAAAGCCATCCAGGTTCACCACATTCTGACCCCAAATGATCTCTCCAAATTCCCATATGGATTCCCACTTAACCTATTTTCCAGTCATACTATATTAAGCATGTTAAATAACACACTTTCATATGCTTGCATTTACTGCTACAATATTGCATAGATGTCTAGGTTGACCCTCTCTTCTTTCGTTTCTTATTCCTTACCCATTAGATTTCAAGTATCAGGGTGCTAGAATCTGTAGCAGAGCTTCTTGCTGAGCTGCACCACCACATATTCAAGGATCTACTAACATCTCTACCTGTTGAACTCAGCCTTGCAAAGTCTAAGCCTCAACTCACAACTTTTCTCCCTCAACCTGTCCTTTTCCAGAATATCCCATCTCATTGTTTGGCTACGATTTCCATGAAGAGTTTTAAGACAGCAGTGTCATTGATCATGTTACACTAATGACACATGATCAGTGACATTTATCCAGTTAATGACACAGGTATATAAGGTAGATAGATTCCTGACAGTCTTACTTGTACATCCCTCTCCCTCACCTTTTAGAAACAGTCTCTCAACAACCCCCAATGATTTCACTAGTAAATAACTCTCCAATCTATCCAAATACCTTCTCCTCCAAGGCCAGAATGTGAGTTCACATTTCTGTTTCTTTCTTTGATCCTAACTGATTCTAGACATCTACTGTTGGCTCCCCCAATGTATTTTTCAGAGAGGATCCAGGTAACTATAGTTATGAGCCACACAATAACATTGTTTTGGTCAGTGGTATGCGCTCTTTGTCTCTGCCCACCCCCCTCTGTACATGATTGTATAAATCATGTAGTGTAGATACAAATGAGATTTTATCATATAGGTCTGTAAAAGTTAACTCAGCTAACCATGCATTTCTCAGAATGTGTGCACATGGTGAAGCAAGGCATGTGTATGTGTAAAATGGAAAACTGATCATACCACAACTGTCTTAAAACTCTTCAATGGCTTCTTATTCCCTTGTAGTAACAATCAAATCACTGGCCTTAGGGAAGTGATTCCTTCCAGCTCACAGTGTCCTCTGAAGCCACCTCTCTATTGCCACGGCTCCTCAGACCGCTGGCTTGCATTCAGGTCTTCAAGAAGCATTATGCTCTCTATGAAACCTGGTTGCCAGTGACCATCACCTCTGCAATACTTGGTTGTTTTATATTAAATCATGCATTTAACTCTTGCATCTTCTTCTGAACCTTCTGAACTCTTCCTCATCTTAAAGACTTTCATCATTGGTAATACCCTCTACCCTCTCTATATCCTCTCTTTAAATCAGACACTGTAGCCTACATTTCTCTTTTGGCATCACTAACATGATAAAGTGTATCTCCTAGATAAACAATTATTTACCTACCCTATGTTTGAAACCTGTACACTGAGTATTTCTCTAGATCAAAGGTTTAATATAAGATGAATACCAATGAATATGAAATAGGGATAACAAATGACTGGATATCTGTCATTACTTCCATAAAGAAGAACTCAAGAAAATTTATCACAAGTCACATTCAAGCTCTCATTCACCAGTTAGGTTGGTTCAAGTTTCAACTAATTGACTCTGATTTTAAATGCATTTTTTAAATTATCTACATTTGAAATATGTTCTATATTTACCTATCAATATATGTTCTAAGACACTGTGATATGGCAGGGACCATGCTTTCAGGAAGTAAATCTATCCCCAAAGACTTATTGTGTCTTTGCTCTTTTCAAGCTCACAACTCACATTAGAATTTCCAGGATGCTCTCTCTCTCTCTCTCTCTCTCACTGTCTCTCTCTGTCTCTCTCTCTCTGTTTCTCTCTCTCTCTCTCTCTCTCTCTCACACACACACACACACACACACACAGAGGACTTTACCATAATTTTAGTCTACAGTGAACACATTGGGACATAAGGGATTATGACTTCTGCATATTACCCACTCATGAGACAACAAGTTTTTAATAGGTGAAACAGGAATAATCAAAATGATAAAAGCCCAACTATTATTCACAGGTCTCTATCATTGTTAAAGTATTTTCTCTTTAAGTTCATGTGAAATAACTAAAGAAAATGGCATTTTTACAAAATCTCTAACAAAATCTGTCTAATGGGAAAACTTAGAATTACGACAATTGTGGAAACATGTTTTGGGGGTCACACAAAGGGTGGGGGGTCACACAAACAGAAGGAAGAAGGGAAGCAAATGCAGTTATTATATTCAACATACATTATGTAAAAACTGTATTACGTAACATGAGAGCAGGATGGGAGGGGGAGAAATGGAGGAGCGCATGAGAGGGGTAACATTTATCAAGAAGAATCATACTCAGAACCTGACTGATAAAACTGCAACCTCTTTGTATAACAACTTAACAATAAAATCTTTGAAAAAAATAATGATGGGATAGCTCTGGGAAGTTCTCTGCAACTTTCTTAATTTGTTCTCAGTAATATTTGCACTTACTTTGAGATTTCCTTGGGCAGTATTCACAGGCTGGCCATCTTTTAACCATGTAATGGATGGGTTTGGAATGCCATTGGCTATACACTGCAAGGTAACAGGCTTGTGTTTTACCACAGTCATTTCAGAAAGTCCTGAAGACTTGATTGTTGGAGGAACTAGTGAGAGAAAATAAAAAAGCATCGTCAAGGGGATTAAACTGTATTAAATTAGGTATGAATGAATTTAGAAAGAAAAAATAAACCTTACTTCAAAAAATGGTGAAGTAATTTCATCACAAACTTAAGAACTTTTAGCAATTTTAAATATCACTTGCTTCTCAACTACAGATTTCTAATTGTCCAAAGAATAGGCAAAATGTACATCTGGCTACATCAATCTATCACGGCTGTTTGTTTTAAACTTATGGTGTGTTTTCCCAATCAATAATGACTGTACACTTTTCTGAACTAACTCATTAAATCAGGTTGGGACTCCTATAATATTTATGCCACATGACTTCACTCCCAGCAAGGTTGACTGAACCTGAAATGGCGGCTTGATTTAAGCTGGGTGGGCCAGGCTCTCTCTCAAGAAGTTGGAACTGAGACTGAGAAACAGGATTATCCATATTCCATCACAGGCCATTGGGCACAAAAAAATCCCACAAAAATCCCAAACCATGATTAAAACAAGTCTGCAGAGACAGAAAAAAAGGAATGAAATTGAGATACACAGACTTCTTCTGGTGGCTTCCAAATGGCTCTCCAGTCCCTGGGTCCATTCCCTTCTTTCTCAAGTTTTGCCGGCAAGCAAGACATCTAATACTCTGGCACAGACTTGTTCCTGTCATCAGATTAATGGTTGTAACCCAAATGTGCCAGTTCTGTGAATGTGCTTATGTTCCTTAGATCTTGTAATTACACTCAGTCTCAGCTTCTGGAAAGTTCTACATTCACAATCACTCTTCAATGCTGACACAACCCATTAAATTGGAATTTGCTGCCTGTCTCTTCAATCTTACTTAGTCTCAGTCTTCAGACTGCAGCACTCTACATGGAATACACTTCCTCAAATGTAAATTCTGTCTCCATTTATTCACATGATACTTCTTGGTTGAATGACTAAGGGAATCTCAATTTTGTCTTCATAATAGAAATTTACACCTTTCACACTACTTTCAACAACTCAACATGTATCCAGATGACTGGGATACAAGCTGAAGTAGATTTAAAAAAAATAACACTGAGGGGAACTGACAATGAGACTCCTGTCCCTTCTGATACATACCATGTACAGTCACTTCAAATTCTTTCCTGTGGTTTCCAGCCATATTGGATGCCACACACTGATATAGCCCTGTGTCTGACACCTGAGCCTGAGTAATAACCAGTTTGCGTCCATTTAGTAAAATCTTGAACCCATCTGTTTCATCAATTAGATGACCATCTTTCAGCCACCTATAGAAAAAAAAGAATTCTGGGCATGTATATAACTTTTATATGTGTATACATATAACTTTTGCTCTATTTTGAATTTATGTCATTTCCCAATTATTCAATCTGTAAAATAAATTATGAATGATGAAGAGAAGAAGGAAATATGGCCTAACATATAAAGTGGCATATTGCTGGAATAACTATGTATTGAGTTCTTTATTTTTCTAATCATTTTAGGTTATAGAAGGGACAAATGACTCTAAGCATCAGTGACTTCAATACTTAACTAACATTAACTGCACAGTCTAAAAACATCTATATGAAATCACGTGATTTTATATATTTTAAGTTTTTTGAGCTACAATTTTCTGTTTAGGTTAATTTCTCTTGGTGGTACTGGAGTTGGAACTAAGGATCTCGTGCTTTCTAGACAGGCACTTTATTGCTGAGACACACCTCTAGCTCTTTTTTGCACTGGTTAATTTTGAGGCATTGCCTGGACCACAATCTTCCTTTTTAATAAATTCCCAGAATAGCTGAGTGAACAACCATGTTCAGCATGTTTCTGTTGACATCAAGTCTCTATGAGTTTTTATTCCAGGTTGGCCTGGAATTTCAATCTTCCTGTACTTAAATTCCGATGTAGCTAGGATGACAGGTATGTATTACCATGTCCAGCTGTTGATTAAGAAGGGGTCATGTGTATTTGAGCAGGCTGGCCTCAAACTATGATTCTCCCAATCTCAGCCTTTCAAGTAGCTAGGATTACAAGTGTGAGCCACTAGTGCCCAGCTTCCACTTAGGTTTAAATCATGTGTGAATATATCTCATTCGCCTAGTTTCCCAATTCTTCCTTTGTATATCCCATCCCATTTTTGTATGCAGTGCAAATGTTAAGCATATATGCATGCTACCATCTTCTGTCCCTCTGTCTATTATTCTTTTTACTTTCTAATTTGTTAAGCATTTCAGTACTTCAAGAAGAGCTAACAATAATGCTTGATAGCCTGTCTCTCTCAATTCACGATATCATTTTGAATTGGATTTCAGTGGGTCATGCTTGTCTGTAATCTTAGATACTTAGGAGGCTGAGATCTGAGGTTCATGGCTCAAAGCACTCCAAGAAAATTGATGAGATTCTTATCTACAACTAAGCACCTAAACTCTGGAAGTGGAGGTATGGCTCAAATGGTAGTATGCTAACCTTGAGCACAAAAGGCTCAAAGACAGTGCCTAGGCCCCAAGTTCAAACCCCAGCACCAGCATTTAAAAAAAGTAATATCTACAATGATATAAAGGAATGTCTCAAGTTGAAGAAATTAAGGCACTCTTTGAGTACCACATAGAAGTTTCTTTGTGTGTGTGTGTGTGTGTGTGTGTATGTGTGTGTAGGCTACATGACCATATAAAATGATGATAATTGAAATGAACTCCAAGGCATGGAAACAGCAGGTTTGTTTGTTTTAGTTGTCAGCCTTGATATCGCCAATGTACTATATCTAGTTCTTTCTTCTTATTTTATTTCATTTTTCTTTTTCCATTGGTTTTATTCCTGGAAATCTCTGTTTTTGATTCTGGTACCTTCCATCTTGTATATGTATAAATATATGTATATTTATCTGATTGGGAGAAGGGAAGGAAGGGGAATAACAAAAATGCTGAAAGAAGTACAAAAGATGACCTGTTGCAAGGACACTCACAGGACCAGGACACTATGTCAGAAATGACCTTTACAACTTCGTGAGTGGGGAGTAGTGGGAATGG